GGAGCTGGCTCATCTGCCAACAACCTGCCCATTTCCTGACCCCCACCTTTGAAACCACACTGACCTTTCCTGTACAAGTAGAAGAAGGCGAAGGGAGAGGAGTAGTAAGAGATGGACCAGAAGACCGAAGCCTGCAGCAGAGAGACAGGGACAGCCAATCAATACATACACATACACGCGCGCGTGCATGCACACTGCTCTGCCATTTCCAGGCCTAGGCTCTGAGCAAGGTGGATAACCTGAGGGATATTATATTGAGTATCTATTCTGTGCATGACATGCACACAGTAGGTGCTCAATATTTGTTGAAAAACAGTGTATGAGAGTGTAACAGAGGCTGGGAAAACTAGGTACAGGTTCTATTCCTCTAACCATTTCCAGACATAAGTCTATCACATTTAAAGGCCAGTCGTCCCTGTCTACTTAAGTTAATCAAGCCTTTTCAATCGGCCCTGCTCAGCCAGCCCCTGGCCTGGTCCCCAAGAGATGCGCAAACGTCACCATAGGAACCCTGCCAGAGAGAACAGCTGTCCCTGCAGCCAAAGAGGTTAGTTGCCAGGGAGGAAAGGTCACTGGGGACTGTCGGACTTAGCACCTGCAGATGGTCCCAAGAGTAAACACGTTTTCCTCATGGCTCAGCTCAGGCTACCCCAGAGAAAGTGCTACATACCAAAGGGGAGTGCCAAGTATGCACGCTTGAGACCATGTCTGTGTGTGTGTACGTGTTGGAGAGGACTGCTGCAGAACCCAGAGCACCCCCACCCGCAGAGGCACTGCCTGCTCCCAGGGTAGGGAGGAGTAAGTTCAAGAGGGAAGCTGGGTCTGAATAGATGCAGTGAGTCTCAGATGCCAGGGTAGACATACCAGGGCCAGGATGCTGTCGGCATGTTTCTCCAGGGCACGGGGCTGATAGTACGTATCCTGCCAAAACAGATGGCCTCATTAAGGACCCTGCACAGTGACAGGATCCCCCATCTTCGCTTTCAGAAGCTATGATGTGTGTCCTCTGGTTCTAGCCTCCTTGGGACATCCCTAACCCCCACAGAAGCCCCTCTTCCTCACCCTCAGCCTGAACATAATTTCCCACCCTGACCATGAGAACAAACATAGGGAGCTGGATTTGAAAGCAAAAGTGAAAGCAGCATTGAACAACTTTTGATCCTTTTCCACAGCCCAGTTTCACATGGACTGTGGGAGGGTGCATATGGGAAAAAGGGTTAGGAGAAGAAAGGAAAAACACCACGACAATTCTAAGGGAAAGGAGAACATGGGAAATAAGAGTAGCTGGTTGACAAAGGAAGAGAATGTGGTTAGGAGTGGGCAGTTCGCAGGGGACAGTAAGCATAATTTGAGACTACCAATAAAAAGGAAGAGAATATTTAGGGGAACAGCCTACCACCACCCCCAGCTTTCATGAATACAATGACCCTGGGGTTTCCAGGCTAGTTTGAGGGGATGGGGTGAGGGGAGGGCCAATACATGATCTGTAGAAGTCATTCTGAAATTCAAGGCCAGGGTAAAGGGAAGATACAAAAAAAAAAAAACAGCAAGGGAGGCACCGAGGAAGAAATTGGGAGTTTGACGGCGAAATCCGCCAACTCCCCAATCCGCGCAGGGTCTTTTCCAGGACTTAAGACTCAACTGGGAGCGGCATGAACCATGACAGACAGGGTGGGGGGATGTGAAGAGGAAAAGGCAAGTAGTGGTAATCAGTGAGAAAGCGGTGCTCAAACAGCGATAAAGAAAGGAGGCGGCCTGTCGGTAAGGCGTGACTTTACCACACGAAGCACAAGGAGCGCAGACTTTGCTGACAACTGCCTTGACGACCAGGCTCCTCTCATTTCCAATAATGGGCACCTCTGGGGAGCAAAGGCCGTCGACTGTACCATCTTCTTGATCAGGGGGAAACTCGACTCACCCAAGAGCTGGAAGGGGGGCTAGAGACTGAGGTTGGAGCCTCAGGGACGACGGACGAGCCCCTTTCAGAGTCCCTCTCCCGGTAGATTTTGTAGAGCCGGGGGCCTAGGACGCAGCTCAGCAGCTTCGCCATGGCCCGGGCTCGGGCCGCTGCTCTCCCAGCAGCCGGGCCCCGGCTGGCCCCGCCCTCCCGGTCTCTGAGGTGTTGCGTGCCCTTGACGTCAGCACGTCCCGGCCCCGCCTCGGGGCGAGTCGGAAGCTTTTTCAGGGCGTCTCGCAAAGGGTTTCGCCCAGTCGGGCCTACGGGTACAGCAATGGTCCGAAATTAATCGGAGGCGTTTGAAGCTCAGAGAGTTAAGAAAATTATCAGTTCAATTATTTTTTCCATCCTGTAATATCGGCAGACTCTCGAGCGACTGTGCAAAGAAGGGGTAAGATTAGTAGCACTTGAAAAAAGCAACAAAAGGCCGGGCGCGGTGGCTCTGTAATCCTAACACTCTGGGAGGCCGAGGCGGGTGGATCGTGTGAGCTCAGGAGTTCGAGACCAGCCCAAGCAAGAGCAAGACCCCCGTCTCTACTGAAAAAATAGAAAGAAATTAGCTGGACGACTAAAAATATGTAGAAAAAAATAGCAGGGCATGGTGGTGCGCACCTGTAGTCCCAGCTACTCGGGAGCCTGAGGCAGGAGGATTGCTTGAGCCCAGGAGTTGGAGGTTGCTGTGAGCTAGGCTGACGCCGCGGGACTCTAGCCCGGGAAACAGGGTGAGAGAGTGAGACTCTGTCTCAAAAAAAAAAAAAAGAAAGAAAGCTAGAAAAAGTAATTGCAAGACGTAAACTAAGGCTTGAGTAAGCAGAGCTACACAATGGTCATAGATAGGAAAACTCAACTCAGCATATTAAGATACGCAGCATACTTGTAAAAAGAAAATGAATGAATTATCGCTCTTAAAGAATAAACGAATTTCAAAACCTTCGTGTTGTGTGAAAAAAAGAAAACTACAGAAGAATACGTACAAGATGATACCGTTGTATTAATTCAAAAACATAAAATTTAATCATAAAGGAGAAAGAGCAAAATCAGAATAGTGGTTACAGCATAGAGGATCTTTGACTAAAATAGGAATATTCTATTTCTTAATACATATTACAGGTTTGTTTTATTTTTCTTTGCACCTTACGCCTACGAAATGTATAAACTATAGCTTTTTATTTGTGTAAACGCATATCCAGAAAGTGCACCAGTTGAGTATACCTATGTAATCAGCAGCAGATCTAGAGACCGTTGCTGCATCTAGAAAATCCACTCTACATTCCTCCCGGTCGCTACCCCGTCCCCAGTGGTAACCACTGTCCTAATTGCTCATCCCATACATTGGTTTTACCTATTTTTGTACCTTATAGAAGTGGAATCATACAATCCATCTGCTTCGTGTCTGGTTGCTTTTACTCTCATTACGTTTGTGACATTCAACCTTGTTGCAGATCACTGGGTTTATTCATTCTCATTGCTGTCCAGTGTTCCATTGTGTGAATTTCCCACATTTTATTTATCCATTATACAGTTGTACATCATATATAGTTTTTGGTATGTATGGAATATTTCCTCAAAAATAATTTTATAAATAAATGACACATTAAAAACCATGAGAACTTTCCCTCAAATAGGTTTAAAAAAAAAAAAACCTTGGTCCCATAAAGGCTAGAGGAAAAAAAAATTTTTTTAAAATAAAAAGCCATGAGAACTATATGAAGATCTGCCTTAAGAGTTCCACCATTCACAGGGATGAATCAGTGAATTCCTTCTCCTTGAGTAATAAATTAATACACTGATCAGGGGGGTTCAGGAGAGGTGTGTGGTATGCCAGGCAACCACAAGGAAAGTCATTCCAAATCATTTTTGGAGCACTGATTGGATACGCAGTCTTGAACTGGGTTCCACGGAGAGCAACACAAACATTCAGTTTCTTTTTTTTTTTTTTTTTTTTTGAGACAGAGTCTCACTGTGTTGCCCGGCTAGAATGCTGTGGCGTCAGCTTAGCTCACAGCAACCTCAAACTCCTGGGCTCAAGCGATCCTCCTGCCTCAGCCTCCCAAGTAGCTGGGACTACAGGCATGCACCACCATGCCCGGCTAATTTTTTCTATATATTTTTAGTTGTCCAATTAATTTCTTTCTAATTTTAGTAGAGATGGAGGTCTCGCTCTTGCTCAGGCTGGTTTCGAACTCCTGAGCTCAAACAATCTGCCCGCCTCGGCCTCCCAGAGAGCTAGGATTACAGGCGTGAGCCACCGCGCCCGGCCAACATTCAGTTTCTTTGCCCATGACTGACATCTCTTAGGACTGAAAAGACCTCAGAATGTATGTACTTACAGACTGACAGGAGGCAGACAGCCGAGACCCCTTCTACACAGGCATTTTAGCGTGGAAAATCTTTTTTTTTTTTTTCAGACTACTCAAGTGCAGTAGTGAGAAGGAAAAGCATGGAAAATCTTTTTAATTATTTTTATTTATTTATTTATTTGAGACAGAGTCTCATTTTCTAACCAGGGCTAGAATGCCCTGGCATCAGCCTAGCTCACAGCAACCTCAAACTCCTGGGCTCAAGCGATCCTCCTGCCTCAGCCCCCAAAGTGTCTGGGACTACAGGCATGTGCCACCATACCCAGCTATTTTTTTCTATTTTTAGGAGACACGGGGTCTCGCTCTTGCTCAGGCTGGTCTCAAACTCCTGACCTGAAGCCATCCTCCTGCCTCAGCCTCCCAGAATGCTAGGATTACAGGGATGAGCCACCATGCCTGGCCCATGGAAAATCTTTGATCTGAGTTCCTCAGCTGATGTGGAGTCAGAGAACTGAGGAGGTCATCTTCAGAGTGTCCTAACTAGATCTTTTTCCCCCAGGACAGAAAGGTGATGGTCACTTTCCCCCAGTAGACATGCAGCTGGGCTTTATCTCCCCAGCAGTCCCATGCCCTCCAGAGGCCCATGTCACTCTAAACCAGGGAGTGTGGGCCTTTATCTGGGCTCTGTTTCCTCCCTGGGGAACACCAGGTCTTGGAACAAGAGAACTTCTCAGGCTCTCCCCATGGCAGTCTTATTCCTCCTCCTGCTGTTCCTTTGTGGAACCCCCCAGGCTGCTGTAGGTAAGGAGCAAGAGGTGGGGATTCTTGAGCTATTGGCAAGGTTGGGGAGGGACTGCTGTTCTTTCTCTTAGGGGCCTGGGGAAGGCATTTGATTCAAGAAGATAGATTGACTGCAGCTGACCTCCCCCTGCCTTGGATACTGGGGAAGACCCTGAGGCAATGAGAGTCCAGGTCATGTACAGTTTCTTTTAGAAAATAAGACCAGATGAGTAAATGCTTCCAGAAAAGGAGAAATGAGAGGAAGAGATACAGACATTCGCCAACTATTCCACCCTTTTCCCTCTTGCCCTCAGATCTCCTCACTGGCTGGGGGACATGGAGGAAAGCCCTTTATGCTCTTCTCTCCACTTCTCTTTTTGTTTTTGTAGCTGTCACTCGAGAAATATGCTCAACAGCCAAGCTAGTGCTGGAAGGGGTGGAAGCCAGAGGTTGAAGGTCAAGTGGGGGACCATTGATCTGATGGAAGTCTCTGACCTCACATAACCCTCTTCTCACAGACAACATCCGGGCCATCTATGTGGCCTTGGGGGAGGCAATGGAGCTGCCATGTCCCTCACCACCCACTCTACATGGGGACGAACTCCTGTCTTGGTTCCACAGCCCTGTAGCAAGTTCCTTCACCACCTTGGTGGCCCAAGTCCATGTGGCCAGGCCAGCTCCAGACCCTGGGAAACCTGGAAGGGAATCCAGGCTCAAATTGCTGGGGAACTATTCTTTGTGGCTGGAGGGGTCCAAGGAGGGAGATGCCGGGCGGTACTGGTGCACAGTGCTGGGTCAGCACCACGACTATCAGAACTGGAAGGTGTATGACGTCTCTGTGCTCAGAGGTGAGCGGGGGCATGCAGACCAGGGCAGCCACTGGGGACCAGGAAGTCCAGGCAAAGAACTGAGGGGTCCCTCTCTTCCCACAGGATCCCAGTTATCTGCGAGGGCTGCAGACGGATCCCCCTGCTCTGTCCTCCTGTGCTCTGTGGTCCCCAGCAGACGCCTGGACTCTGTGACCTGGCAGGAGGGAAGGGGTCCTGTGAGGGGCCATGTTCAGTCCTTCTGGGGTGATGGGGCTGCCCTCCTCTTGGTGTGTCCTGGGGAGGGGCTTCCTGAGCCCAGGGGCCGCAGACCAAGAACCATCCGCTGCCTCATGCCTCACAACAAAGGGGTCAGCTTTAGCCTGGCAGGTAAACTGAGGGAGGAGATGGGAAGGGATGTTGCCTGTAGCACATCCCTCACCTGCTAGCTGGGAGAGCAGGTGAGATAGGAGCACATCTGGCCAGGTTGGGGGTGACTTCTGGTGGAGCAGACCATTTCCTGTAGGAAGGGAGACTTTTTTCTCATTGATCAAGTTCATAACAGAGAAAGGGGTTGGCTAAGCCAGCTTTCTGGTAGACTAGACCAGTAGCCAAGAGGTATATTCTTGTGGAATATACCATTGTTTAGTAATAGGATAATCTGTGATTCTTGTGGAATATCCCATAGCAGAGAGGAAGAAAATAAGAATTATTGCTGTGGGAGTTGTCTTTTGAAGAAAGAGTATATGCACTGGTGTTATCATGGCCCATTGATAGTGAAGGCAGGAGGAGAACAAATATAATTGTTTAACAATAAAAATACCATTATACAGAGACAGAGTGTTGTTGGATGTAGAATAACCCATTTGCAAAACAGGAGGGAGGAGTCAATGGCAAAGGCCAGTGAATGGGCAGCGACTGGGCCTTATTGCCGTCTACATCCTCACCCCCTCCTGTGGCGCCTGGCACGCGCTTATAGAGTGAAGAAGCAGAAGAACGAGTGAGGCAAGAGGGAAGCACGCCGCGCTGGCGGGCTGTTCTGAGTTAGCTGCCTGTGTGGGCAGGGGCATTGCCATTTCTATGGACATTGGCTCATGGGCTCAGGGTGCGAGGCCTGGAAAGTGGCAAAGTGGGGGGCGGATATTGGGTGCAGGGAAGCTCGTGAAGTCTCGGTTGGAAGAGCCCACCAGCCTATGGGGGGAAGCCTCTCTTTGGGGACAGACAGGCCCCTTCACTCCCTCCCTCCCTATCCCTCTGGTGTCGCCCTTACTGCAGCTCCTCCTGCCACCCTCTGTTCCCCTCCCACGGGCTGGGATGTGCCCTGGATCCTGCTGCTGCTGCTCACAGTGGGCCAGGGGGTCGCCGTCCTGGCCCTCAGCATCATGCTCTGGAGTCGGAGGGCCCGGGGGACTGCCGGCCGAGGTGAGGCCTTCCCTCCCAGAGGGAAGAAGCGGGCACGTGGGTGTGAGGCAAAGAGCTGGGCTCCCATCTTGCCTCCGTATCCTGTCTCCTCTAGGGGAAGGGTGGTGAGGAATATGGCTCTGAGCTGTCTGGTGACTTCTCTTCCGTATCCCATATGGCTCCTTCTCCCCAGATGCCTCGATTCCTCAGTTCAAGCCCGAAATCCAGGTCTATGAGAACATCCATTTGGCCCGTCTCAGGTGAGGAACACCTAAGTGGCCTGGGAAGGGAGAGGAGACACTGGGGTTGGGTTGGGATGGGACCCTGTTCCTGAGGAGGTGGGGAATAGAGGTGTCCTTAATCTGTCCCTCTTCTTCACAAACCCCACAGCCCACCTGCCCACAAGACCAGGTGATTTCAGTGACATCTCCTACTGGGAACAGTAACATCTCCTACTGGGAAATGTGACCTGCTGTCTCCCTGGCCATCTGGCACCTGAAGGATTCCCTGAAAACCTTGGCAGGGTGGGGGCACTGAGAGTGCAACTTCCTGGTCCAGCCACCAACCCAAGCTGTATGGGGTGGGGTGGGAGACTGAAGGAAAGGAAGAGCATTATTCTGTGATGTCACCTATAAAACGGTGTGGTCTCCGGTCTTGTAGCAGCCAGGAGAGGGGTGGCCATGAGCACACAGCACTGTGGGATTAAGGGGCCTGAGGCTGCAGGTGGGGGTGAGGAGGGGTGAGGGTGGGCAGGGGCGAGACAGGAATCTAGAGACTTGGGCAATGGTGGGGAAACAGTCATAGGGGAACCTAAGGACAAATGGGGGAAACTGAGGAAGACAGAAGGAAAGACACTCAAGTCAGAGTCAGAGGAAAGAGATGGGCAGAGAAATAGGGAAAAACAGAAGCGCAAAGTGGGAGGATTGAGGGACAGGGAGAACGGGAAGAAGACTGAGCTCGCCTCCAAATTAAGCCAGACCCCTGATACCCGTGTCTCATCCTCACAAAGAAGAGAAGTCCAGCAGGAACAAGCACCTTTAATCATCCCCCAGACTTCCTCAGATGGAAGGAGAGGAAACTGAGTCAGGATGGGGGAGCCTGTGCTCTGCTCCCACCTCGGGGCATCCTCCTTATCCTGGGCACACACACTTCCCTGTGGCACTCCACTGTGGCATTTAGAGCAGTGGGAGCTTATCACTAGGATGGCACCTCCTCCCTGCCACCCCAGGAGTCACACCCTACCTCCCTGGGCAGAGGCAGTGTCTACACAGGCTGGCAGGTGGGATTCTCCCCTGGGGCGTGTTACTGGGCCAGGGCCATGTTGGGATGCGTGTCAACGTGGACAAGTCTGGGCTAGCAATGCGGCGGGAGGGCATTGGTGTTCTCTACTTGGCCATTCCCAGTTTCAGGCAGAAAAGAGCTGAACTCCTAACCACACCCTCACAAGCAACTCCACCAGGTGCCCTTTTGTGTCTCGGCTCAAGCTTGGCCCCCACCAGAGAAAAGCTCTCTTGGAGATCTCACCTAAAGCCTTCACGCTGTGGCTTAAACTAAGCCATTGGTAGGAAGGAGGATGCGAATGACACAGATGGAGAATGAGGAGAACATGATGGTTCAGGTTCCAGCCCCAGCCCAACCCCACCAAGCAGCTATAGTGTGCTCTTAGAGCACACACACACCCACACGCATGCGCACATACACACACACTCACACACTGCAGCATTACCGGACTCCCAAATGGCCCTCTTTTTTTTTTTTTGAGACAGAGTCTCATTCTATTGCCCAGGCTAGAGTGCCGCAGCGTCAGCCTAGCTCACAGCAACCTCAAACTCCTGGGCTCAAGCAATCCTCCTGCCTCAGCCTCCCGAGTAGCTGGGACTACGGGTATGCGCCACCATGCCCAGCTAATTTTTTCTATATTTTTAGTTGTCCAGCTAATTTCTTTCTATTTTTAGTAGAGACAGGGTCTTGCTCTTGCTCAGGCTGGTCTTGAACGCCTGAGCTCAAACAATCCACTCGCCTCGGCCTCCCAGAGTGCTAGGATTACAGACGTGAGCCACTACGCCTGGCCGTAAATGACCCTCTTATTAAATGTACTCTTCAAAGTTCCTGAAGTCCTCCTTCCTGAGTTCTCAACCCTACCAAATTAATCTTTCCTAGCAAGACCCTCCTCTTCACCATACCTGGTACCCCTTCAGTCGGCTCCATCAAAATGCCTGCCTTGCCAGGGACCTGGGGCTCAGAGAGGGCATCATCAGCACTGATGTCTAGAAAAGACAAAAGACACAGAATAGGTGTTCTTATGAGGCTGGACTCTGGGCAGGTGCCTGTGGGGATTGGAGCAGTGCCCATAGGATTCGGGTCTTGGGAGGGGTCTGCAAAGATGTTGGGCCCAGGGATCTGAGGTCTCCATACAAAATCAGGTTCTTGGGCATGTCTCAAAAGTGTCTGTGCAGGTGTTTCCAGGGCCACGGTGATGGTGGAGGAGTCCAGAGCTGGGGGATGCAGATCTGCAGTTGGCTAGTGGAGAAGGTGGCCCTTCCAGCTGAAGCTGGCCGCAAGGAGGAGCAGGGTGGCGAGGAGGAGGCTGGGGAGCCTTGGCGTGGCAGCCGCGTTGCACAGGTCCTGATCGCAGCAGTGGTGCCGCAGAACATAGGCTCGTGACCAGTAGGTGGCGTGGCCCAGCAGAGGGCACTGGCCCTTCGGGAGGCAGCCCTTTCGCTCGATGACCTCACTCTGGTCTGTGGGACAAAGGAGAAATGCTGAGGGGGGAGCACAGGAAAGGCAGGATGGATGGAGGTGGGGAGCCCCCCAGAGAAAGGCCACTGGACTAGGGTCCTACCTGAGGTGCCAATACTGATACCACAGACTTCATCGTCCTGACACTCGGTGGGGACAGGGTAGCAGGGTTTGGCGAAGGTGCAGGTGTAACAGCGGAGCCTTCCACGGGCAGGGGATGTGGTGGTGAGACCTGTTGAGTCAGCAGAGATCAGGGCAGGGGGCGAAACATAAACCCTCGGGGGAGAGGTAGAGCCCAGATCTAGGAGAGGGAGACACAGAGGAAGGTGACACCCAGAGTGGAAAGGGAGAAGCCATGAAATGAGGGAGAAGGGCTGACAGAATAGAAAGAGGCACACAGAGAAGGGAGGGCAGACAGATGTAGGGATTGAGACCCCCCCCCACCACACACACACACAAGCCAAGAGAATCGGACTTAAAGAGTGACACAAAAAGCCAGACCCAGCGGGAGATGGAGAGGGGAGCTGAGAAAGTTAAGTAGGTGGCACCAGAGACAGACAAGAAAATAGGAATTGACATTGACCTAGGGTCCCAGCTCAGAAACAAGAGGTGAGATAAGGGACAATGGAGACAAAGTCAAGTCAAAGATGCAGCAAGGAAGACAGTTATTCTCAAATGCCTTTGAAAGGAAACTTTCTCTTCCACTTTATCAGACTGGCCTTAGGCTGGTCTCCTGAAGGCCCCCCAACTCTCTTCTTGGCCTCTTCCAGCTCCCTCTCCCCTCCACCTCTCTTGTTCTGCCACAAGCCCCTGCCCCACTTCCCCAGGGTTCCCCTGCCCACCCTTACCTAATGCCCCACGGAGGAACAGGATGCAGAGCAAGATGCTGGAGGTACCCATGGCTGGACCGGGCTCAAGGCTCAGGAGTCTGGGAGAAGGTGATCTGCACCCCGAGATCCTGAGAGTTGGAGAGACAGGGAGGGACCAGTAAACAAACACACCTAGGGAGTAAATCTGGGGGGCGGAACCGTGACCAGATTCACCAGCCTGATGCAGCAGGCAGCCTACCGAGCCCTGGCTCCTGTGCCCCGGGCTGTCACACCCTCCCTGCCCCTGGAATGAGCCTGCCCCTGCCTTGAGGGTCTCCTCTGCTCTCTGTGTGTTTGTCTCCCACTCCTGAGTTGTGTCTGTCGCCTCCCCTCCCATTCCTCCTTTCCCTCCCCTTGTCTCAAGCTGCTCTCTGCTCCTCAACTTGTCTCCCTGTCTTTGTTTTCTCTGTCTTTCCCCCTCAGTGCATTTATGTCTCTCAAGGTCATCCTCCTAACCAGTCCTGGCCTAGATCTGTTCGAGGGTAGAATCAGCA